CCCAGCGATCCTGCAACTTTTGCTTTCGTACTGCCTCTCCGCACTCTCCAATGACTCGCATGTTATCATCCTCATCGTGCTCTCAGGAAGTTGAAATGTCAGAGCTAATTAATTAAGATGGTTTGCCTTCTCTTATTAATCCCTTAAGGACTCAGAACCCATTCCCCTCTAACCAGAAGCAGCTGTGACCAACACCGTGCGAGAGGCGGAAAACCATTTTACTGGGAGGCACTTCCTATGACCACCTTTCTGAAACAGTAAGGAATGTAACTGTTGCGGTGAGTCCAGTGGTAATGTTAAAATGTGTCACTACCATTTCCCTTCCCGAAACTCCATCCCAACCATCCATGATTGTATCTGTGCTGGCCTATCATGCACAAAGCTGCTCATGAAATTGCTGCTTTCCGCATATGAAGATACTTTGAGGCTTTACTTTCAACTGCCTAAATGCCAGAAATTTACTGAAGAGCCGAGCCCCTGCCTTTTAACTATGTCAGCATTGCTACTCTTACACTTTTTTTTACTGAAATGCCTCTTTTGTTAGATCTTTGTTTTGCTTTCTAATGCATATATCAAATAAAGTAGCCTATTTTCCATAAGGAGATTATAATTAAGTTCTACTTATTTCCTAAAGGGAAACAGTATAGGAAAAAAATCCAGTATTTTAGTATTTGCATACCAGTTCAACACATTAATTTTTCTGAATTAACATACATTGGGTTTGTTTATAGAACGACCATTAAAAAACCACCGTTATCTAAACTACATTCACATTATTGAAATAGTTTTGATCATTGAATTAACCGTTTCTAAGCTTGCTATTTACCGCAAATATCCATTGCGGACTACAACCTGAGAGTTGGTTTTCAGCCTATAAGAAACGTGCTGTGGGTAGCGATGGCAGCTTTCTTTACATTAACCAAGGTCTAGAGGTTCACCAGCTCTGCAGCTGGAGCGTTTTTTTACATGGCTGACTTTTTGAGCGCTGGGCTACAACTCATTTTCTGAAACCTCTTCTAAACACCCAAATTAAATCAAGCTTTGGACAATTCTTCGAGGTGCATTTACCTCCTGGGGTAGGAGTGGGAAAGCTCCGGCGCGTGTGAGCTACAGCTGAAGAGGTGCTGGGTCAGCCCCACGTGCAGTTCGTTCCACACGATTTAAGAGCTTTGCTGATGAGAGCAGGACAGAGCCTGATAGGCACCTCTAAGACAATTCTTGATAGACCTAACTGACACCTTTTAGTTCAGTCTCCCTGGCAAACATGTTACCCAATATGCGCTTTACTATATTTAAATAAATGCACTGAAACCACAGAATTCTTGAAAAAATTATAAAAAAAACCCATTTTGGTGAAGTATCTGCTTTTTTTTTTGCCCCGACAGGCATTCTGGTCAGTAAAAAGAACCATTTGCTAGTGTAATTCACATCTGCTGTGTAGTTACAGTTAGGATCAACAGGACGTGATGTTATGATTTTAAAATATATGTTCTTCTATGTTTGATTTGCTAGTCACACCTTGAAATGAGCTAACAGTGGGGTTACAGCCCATCCTCTAGCCATGCACACAACGCTCCTCCTTTAAATCTGAATTATTACAGGATGCTTTTCCTTACCTTCTGCAGCAGCCATGGCAAGGGGTGCCTCATTCAGTACAGAAAAGCAGGCTACAGCCTATTTTAATTTCTGTTGTCTCAGTAACAACTCAACTGGAAACAACAGGAGCAGAGGTGAACAGACTTTGCAACTTGTGTTTACCAAGTAAACTTATTTGCTATTCATTTTACCCATTCATCAGGAATTTTAAAATTTCCAGTTACATATTCTTAGGTAATAAAATGTATTGCTTCAGGTAGACTACCAGAGTTATTAACCATTATTTGGAGTGTTGTTGCCGCAGTATCCTTAGCACAGGTGATGTTTTGCAGGCATAAAGATGACTCGGTTCTTGTTCCCAGCAGACAACAATTCACGGTCCTGAAGCTGGGATACGCGGCAGGCACACAGAGCTCCGCTCCTGCAGGGCCTCCCTGATTTATAAGACAAGTTCTACTCAGGAGATGCAACCTCTCTGGACACTGAATATTGCTTGAATTGATAACGATACATAAGAAATTATTCTGCTGGAAAGGGAAGAAGGAGGAGGGTAACTGCTATTTTTACTTCAGCCTCTCTGGGTTTTCTGGTTATTGTTAGACTACATGGGCTCTATGCCACCGGTTTGGTTTTCCTCTTCAAAGGAGTCTGAAAACCAGCAGAAGTTAGAGAGAGTTACAGCAGGACAAGGACGTGGTTCCCTGCATCTGCTCAAAAGTAAAATAATCCTCATTTCCTCTCCTACTCTCCCAGTAGCCGAGAGGCAACCTCAAGATACAGCTGCTCTTTTTTTGACATTGGCCCAGCAATGATGCATTTGCTCCTGACATATAAAAGATCTTTTGTTTGTAACCCAGGAGGGAGAGAGGGTTTACATGTTTTCAACATGGTCAAATGAGTTTGTTAAATGTTACGCAGTGGCACCCTCCTTCCGATGGGCATGCTTTATCCATGAGGATCGTTTTATCTGGAATGGGAGTAAACCCTCACTTCTCACGCAGAGCTTGGAACCACTGCTGGGAGCAAGGAAGCCTTCACCCACTGAGCCACGTGTCTCTCACCATCGCGTTACTCCATAGTCAACTGCTTGGGAACAGCTTTCGTAAAACCTGCAAAAATACACAGAATTGTTTTCTTTACAAAAACCTGGCTGTGTTGTCATCCAAAAGGAAGGTAAGCATGTTAGACATGATTCTCACATGTCACCACGTTCCTGTAACAGCACTTCTTAGTGGTTTTGACTCCATCATTACAAGATTTCCACTCATTTGGAAGCTGACCCTGCTTTGAGCAGGGGGCTGGATCAGATGACCTGCAGAGGTCTCAACCTGAATAAGTCTATAATTCCATAATTTATCCTATTGAAATGTTCTGCGAGTATTCTTTTTATTAAAAGAAACAGGACATCAGAAAACCCAAACTTTCCACCAAGCAGTTGCTGGAGTTACGAGGATACATATTTCTCCCTTGGTATGCATTTTGTTGCATGGAGAATGTTTCATATTTTTCTAATATATTTATTTTTCTTGTTTTCTATGGTATTTTTGTTCACCATGTAATCTGTTCAGTTGCTAGTATTTGACAGTCAGCTCCTAAAAATGTGGTATAACTTAAGATACGCATTTATGTTTTAGTTGCTGAATCCCAGTTGTACCCCAGCAGACTCACAACTTCTCCTACCTGTCATGTGGGTGTATCAAACCAGTGGGTTTAAAAGCTGTTCCAACTAACGCTTGTGCCTAAGTTAAAACAGCTGCAGGAGGACTCCCTATTTTCTGCATGTAAAGACTTTCATAACATCAGGTCAGATTTAGACGATAAACTACATCAACTGCTTGCTTTTGCGTATGTGTGGCATAATGCTACGTTATATCTATTTGCACAAACTAGCAAGTATGTCTCACCTCAGGGCAACGTCTTTTAATAATGCAGAACTGACTGAACCACGAGACATATTGATGTAATATTAAACACTGGATTTAAATTCACAGAAGCAGGACTGCTGACAGTGCAGGTCAAACTTCCAATCGTTTATCTGCACATTTTGATGTTGCACGAGCTTTTGAGGAGGGAATAAATGGGTCACGTAAGTCAGATGCAGGCTGATTCAAAGACGCTTTGTCAGGATAAATTTTAGAATTAAAATGGAGTGACAGAAAACAGAGCAAACCCAGGCTCTGACACCTCTGACTGCTTGAGAGTTTATGCCAAACTCCTGTTATTGTATGTATCGGAGTGTTGTGCAATCCCATCAATGGAATAGTAGCTATTTTCTGTTATGTTTAGTTAAAATATACTATCTGATGCACAACAGATTTCAAGAATTGTCAAAGCACAGAAGGACAGCTGCCATCTAGGTGTCTCCACACATCACAGACAGGATGGCGCCAAGTGCCTGTTTGCAAAGGCTTCCCAGTGTCTCCCACTGTAAGACTGTGCTTTACTGCACTTGCAGCTACCCAGGCCTGAGAGTTTGAGCCAAATTTCCTGGACCAAGTGGCATTTGTACCTCACGTATTGCCGCGTGGAAAGATTAATCCGGAACAACTCAGTCATTCCATGGATAAGACTAATGAAAAGCATGTTGTTTTGCCCATCTTAAAAAGGCAAATCAAGAAACCACAAGGGGCACCTTTCCTTGAGAGGCACTAGACCCGTCACGGCTTTGTGGAGAGATGCGTGCGTGGCACGGATGGGCTGCGTAGCGTAGATGTGACCTTGGTAGCCTTTGTTAGGCTTTGTCCCGTGAACAAAACAGAAGCGGTTGCCTAAGGCTGTAATACAGTTACCTAAAGAAGAAAAAGGTTGGAAAGGCAACATTACATTTAAATATTTGTCAAAAAAAAAAATTTCAAAGGCATTATTACAATTGCAGAGTCAAGCAGTCAAGTTAGGAATTAGAGGCAAATACCTCCCAAGAGGTGCAGAAGAGCGTGCACTATTTCACGTGAGACTCTCACAATGACAGGAGGTAACAGCAACACGGCTTTGGAAATAGTTTCAAAATCTCCCACTGAAAAGCATCAAGACACAGGCTTCTAAGAAGCTTAGGGAAATGAAACTGGGGATGTTCTGCTCCAAGTAAGTCTCTATAAACTTCAGGCTAGTCAGCCACTTAATACTAAATTTACGATGGCAAGAGTCGAAGTAGAAATAAAGCAAATACCCATGTCCAGAAAACAAAAAAACCCACCACATAAAAGTTTTAGCATCTTTTAATTTATTTTTTTTTATTTGGAAGTAAAATAAAATGTGACATTTCCATCTAGAAGCCACTGACATAACGCTGTGGTAAATTCAAACACGGAGAGGTGGTTTTAACTTTCAGATTCCTCCCAAATTCAGCTTCTCCCTCTTGCACTGGAGCCTGGTACAAGCTCTGATGCACCTGAGGACCCATCTGTTTAAGGCAGCCGCTGGAGTTCAAGCTTATCTGCAGATGGTGCTTCAAAGACATCATCTTCGACACTTTCTTCTATTGGCTTCATTTTTGCCGAAGTTCTCAGGTAGGGAGATGTCCGGCCCGGGCCTGCCACAGTTACAAAGAAGTTATCGATTAATTTAGCAACACATACCTGCTACATACACCTATTTGTGGAAAAGTCTACACAACCTGGTGATCCTGTCCTAGCTCCCTCATGAGAAGATTTTATAAGTGAATGTTTCCTTGTTGCTTGGCCACAGGCATCAGGAAATCCCAGACGTGGGACAGCCACGCTGCTACAAACCAGCAATGCCTCCGAGGGTCAAACCCTGCGGCCAGCTACAGGCACAGTATTCTCAAATTCAGTGCAGGTCCTGACCGCATGAGGTGCCCAACGCTGAGTCCCTGGCAATCGTTTTCTCAGTGTTACACTCACCCACTAGTTCTCCACAAACGACAACATGAATGGTTAAACACAAACGGTACGTGCATGCGCACACTCGCCTCGCCTGTGAAAAAAATTCCTCGGAGTACTGGGCAAACCTCGGGTAGGTACACAATCACACAATAATGTAAAATTTATCAAAAATATAATACCCCCATAAACAACCATAGAGAAAACAAGATTAATGGGTGAAGGCCATTAATTAACTTTTGGCTGACAGTGATTTCATTGCTCCAAAATAATCTTTTAGAAAAGCAGCAACTCACAGAGCTTGCCGGAATGGAGCACACACCGCAGCCCTTGCTGGTAAGACATTAAATGGAATTTTTGTGCAAGTTACCGCTGCAGACTACCTCTGCTGTAGTTACATTTTTAGCACGAGGGTTAAGCCAGAGAGCTCCTTTGACATCAGCCAACCAGGTTTATTTCTCATTGCCCACTCTGAAATTGCATCTGCACCTTTTTTTTCCTCTCAGTACCCTTCTCTAGAGTTAAACCACCACAATGGCACAAGATTGTAAGCGGCTACAGTACGATGACCAAAAAGAGTAGGGAAATCTTTGAAATACCATTTCAGAAGAAAAGAGCAAGAGGTAGTGGTCCTGTCTGAAAGATCGTCTGTATACAAGCTAAAAATTCAAATTTTCTTGAAAAAAACACCGATAGCCATAACATATTCTTATTGCAAGGGCTGTTCTTATTACTTTAAAAAAAGTTTATCAGACATACAGTAAAGTGCTCTGCTAAGGAAGCCTGTGTATGAAGAAGGACTCCTTTGTGCTGCATGTGTTACACACAGAGAACAAAATACAGCTACAGGCAAGAGCAGCGGGTTATCGTATTACTGCCCTTGTAAGTCACATTCACACAAACACTGTTTGGAATTAGCTTTTTTGAACTTTTCATGTTAAAAATGTATTAGTATTTTCTTTTAACATTCAAAAACTACCATGATAAAGGGTTATTCACAGACATTTTTAAATACTGGAACTGTTAAGCACTTCCTTTTTATTACTTTATTGCTAGCTTATTACCATTTTTAGACTAGTTCTCCTTCTTTTTAAAGCACTTAGCTCTCTCCAGAAATCAGAAGTAAGAAGCCATAAGTCGGTCAAACAGGATCCAATATTGAGCCTAATACTGTCAAGTTGTTTGGTTCAAAGACTGGCCCTTATTTTCTCCAAACGCAAAACCCCTTGTCTACTGATGCCTCTATCCAGTGTCGGACAGATGTTCAAGAGCCTGAGTCAGACCCTGAACCCAGGCCTTCCATACACTACTCCACTGCCCCCTCTCGAGGACCGAAGCCCAAATACCTATTAAAATGGCATTTCCCATGAAACCCAGTCCTGCTTTCAACCACCAGCTGGGTATAACTTAGGGAACGCACATAATGAGACAATACCAATAAAAGCATTACCAGATCAAAGCTTTTCTACATTCCTGCCTAGCTTAGAAGTTTGCAAATACAGATTCATAGCCCAGCAAAATTGAGTGATCTAAACCAAGCACAGGAAAAGAGACCGCATCAATAATAAGCAGATGAATAACTATCACGCAGTAGAATCACTGAATAGAAACTAATACTGAAATGTTTTTTGAAGGACTGAAAGTTAGGTGAAGCTGCTCTTGTAATCAGGCTGAACTAGTTCTGCTTAACTCAGATTTTGGAAAGAGCGATGCATCATTTTCATTTGCTAATAAATTACATACAGCTGGATCACAGATGTCAAGCACAAGTACCACGTGATAAACAAATCCCACTTTAATACCTTTTTGAGGATGCTTGCTGAGTTAATGTGATGTTATCAACAGAAAACATCATGCTGCAAACGACTCACTCCGTAAGCATTATAGAACTCTTGTTGGTTATTTCCTTAATATAAAAGCAAAGAGTTAGTTGGGTTTCTTAGTTAATTAAATTCAAAACACAGTTTTGTTAGTAATTGTAGTTTGAGGTCTACTAATTAACATTTTTCACCCTTTCACTGCTAAACACTGAAGAAAGCTTTATATCAATTTCTTGAGAAAATGAGTCAAAGCTGACTGCTTTAGCACAGATAAAAACATGATTTTAAAAGTTTGGATTATACAAAAATATAAATGCTCAATTTATATGGGAATTAGGAGGATAAAACTTGTTTGTACTGTAATAGTCAGATACCATATTTGTAATGGGCAGCTTTTGTCCACACAACAATCAATCACCTGGCAATGACAAGACAGTATTCCTGTAAAGTGCCCGTACAGGTAAGTTTCTCTTATTAATGTCTTATTCTAATTAAAAAAAAAAAAAAAAGAGTTTGTAATTTCTGTATGTTCCTCACTAGATCCTCTAGGTTTGGTTTTGGGTTTTTGTTTTGTTCTGTTTTTAATAAACAAATGTACGATCGCAGCAGGAGGATCCAGGGGAACAGCACTGGGACGGTATGCCTCAGCATGGACCTCATACTGACTCTTGAAAAAAAGACCAAAAAACCAGACTGACTGCTGCACTGAGAGCTCCCAGGAGAAGGTTTTTGAAAACCCAGCAGTGGGAAGGCAAATGGCAGTTTTTTTGCTCAGTTTCCCCTGTGGTCTGAGAAAAAGTACATATGTGGCCACAAATCCACATTGCATACAAATCAATAAGCAGAGCTCACCTTGGTAGCAAACCCCTCGGTGGCAATGACAGTACTCAGGAATAACTACCAAGCTATTTTGGCAAGAAGAAAGATTGAAGCGTTACAGTTTAGTGAAATAAATAACCTTTCATCGAGCATTTTGATCAACCTTTTATAGAAGTCAGAAATTTTGCATTAATCAAAATGCAGAGGAGAAACAAGGGACAGTATTTCCCGAGGCGTATGATACACTGCTGTATGGGTAAACCCCCTGCCTCCCCAAAAGTAAGGATAGTATTGGGCTCGGGAGGCTGCTGCCATACCTGCTGTTGCCAGTGGGGTGGTGGCAGTGGCAGTATCAGCTACACCACCTGCTGTTGCACTGAGCAACTTTGGAACATAAAAGACATTTAAATCCCTCTTTTGGGGAAAGTACACAACATACACCAGAAAATACGGTACACAAACCAAGGAAAAGCACAACAGAGGAAAGTGTATTTATCAAGTATGTGCTAAGCATGGATGCATCTGAGGGGCTGATGTAATTACAGCTGTACGACATGCATTTAGATTTCTTTCTCCCGAAGCTGAAATACTGGTGCTAAGTGTTCTGCTGCTAAGCCTGAAAGAGAATTTTAATTCTAGCTAATTGCACAAACACAGTTTTACAATTTCTTTCAGGCTTCTAAGTGTGCAATTTTGTCCAAGGGCACTCTGTGCAAAGGAGTGGCTTCAATTTCACGGAGCTTTGCCATGGAACAGATGAAAAGCCAGTTGAGAACTTATGGGTAAAGAGCAGAGAACAGACCAACACAGGAGACTTCATGGCAGGTAACTGCTACAGGCTGCCTGATCAAGAAGAGCAAGTAGATGGAAGCCTTCTTTAGACAACTGGATGAAGACTCCTGATCGCAGGCCTTGGTACTCGTGGGGAGCTTTAACCACCCCAGTATCTGGTAGGAAGTCAACAGGGCTGGGCGCAAGCAGTCCAGGAGATTTCTGAAGAGTGTAGCAGATAATTTCTTCACAGAAGTGATCGATGAGCCGACTAGGAGAGGTCGTCTGCTGGACCTGTCACTGACGAACAAGGAAGAACTCATCAGGGAGATGAAGGCCGATGGTAACCTTGGCTGCAGTGTCCAGGAGCTGGCTGGTAGGTTTTAAGATACTGAGAAGTGTGCAAGAAAAATAGTAGTTACAACGCCCCAAGGACAGATGGTTGATCTTCAAGGACCCCTTTCTCAAAACACAAGGACAGTCCATTCCAGTGTAGAGGAAGCTGAGCAAGCGTGGTAGAAGGCTGGCATAGATGAACAGGGAAGTCCTGACAGAGCTCAAAACACACACACACAAAGTGGAAGCACGGATGAGCTGCTTGGGGGGAATACAGAAACATGGCCCAAGCATGCAGGGATGGAATTAAGAAAGCCAAAGCTTAGCTGGACCTGGATCTAGACAAGGGCAACAAGAAGGGCTTCTACAAATACACTGGCAACAAAAGGAAGAACAGGGGAACTGTGAGGCCATGGCTCCTCATTGGGGCACAGGACCTAGGGACATGGAAAAGGCCGAGATACTCAGTACCTTTTTTGCTTCAGTTTTTACTTTACAGGTTTGTCCTGAGGCATCTCAGGTCTCTGAGTCTGTGGTAGAGACTGGGAGGGTGATAACTGACTTACAGGAAAGGCGGACTGAGTTAGGGACCACTTAAGTCAACAGGGCAAACACAAGACTGTGGAACTTTATGGGCTGCATCCAAGGGTACTGAGGGTTGGCTCATGCAACGGCAACAACCCTCTCTATCATCTTGGAAAGGTCATGGCTGTCAGGGGAGAGAAAAAAGGCCGAAACTGTGGCCATTTTAATGAAGGGCAAGGAGGAGCATCCAGGGAACTATTGGCTTATCAGCCTAACCTCAGTTCCCAGGCAGGTTATGGAGCCTGTCCTCGTGGAAGCCACATCCAAGCACATGAAGGACAGGATGGTGACTGGGAAGAGCCAGCATGGATGTACCATGGGCAGACTGTGCCTGATCAGCCTGACCGCCTTCTGTGGTGAGATGACAGGGGTTGTGCATGATGGGAGTACAATGGATGTTGTTTACCTGGTCTGTAGCATGGCCCTCCACACAGCCTGCCATAGAATCCTGCTATCCAAATGGGTGAGAAATGGACTGCATACATGGACTACAGCTTGGGTAAAAAGTTCACTAGACTGCTGAGTTCACATGGTGGTGAGCAGCAGTACAAAACCCAGGTGGCAGCTGGTTACCAGCAGTGTCCCCCAAGGGCCAATACCAAGGCCTATAATGTTCAATATATTAATAACCTGGATGATGGGATGGAGTGCACTCCTGCCAAGTTCACAGAAAACAGCCAAGTTATGAGGGAAACTGCTGATAGGCCAGAGGGTAGGGCAGCTACTCAGAACGGGACTTCAGAGGCTGGAGAAAAGAACTGACAGAAACCGCATGAAGTTCAACAAAGGCAAATTCCTGCACTTGGGACACAAGAAACCTACACAGCAGTACAGGCTGGGCACCAACTGGTTGGAAAGCAGCTTTGCAGAAACAGACCTGGTGGTCCTGGTGGACACAAAATGGAGTATGAGTCAGCAGAGTGCCCCTGCAGTGACGAAGGCCATCCATATAGTGGGCCATATTAGCAAGAGCATAGCCAGCAGGTCAATGAAAGAGATTAATCCCTTCTATTTGGCACTTGTGAGACAGGATCTGGCGTGCTGTGTCCAGTTTTGGGCTTCCCCCTACAAGAAAGACATGGACATACTGGAGCGAGTGCAGTGGAGAGCAACCAAGATGGTCAGGGGCTGGAGCACATGACATACATGAAGAGGCTGCAAGAACTGGGTGTGTTCAGCCTTATGAACAGAAGGTTCTCAGGGGATCTTACTGTTGTCTTTGGCTACCTAATAGAAGGGTATAAAGAAGACAGAGCCAGACTCTTCTTGGAGGCATGCACTAAAGAACAAAGGACAACAGTCACGACTTGCAATAAAGGAAATATTTTTCACCGTGAGGGTGGTAAGGCCCTGGAACATGTTGCTCAGAGAGGCTGTGAAATCTTCCATCTTGGAAATATTCAAAGCTTGACTGGACATGGCCCTGAGTAACCTGCTCTAGCTGGCCCTGCTTTGAACACGGGGTTGGACTAGACGATCTCCAGAGGTTCCTTCCAACCTCAACTGTTCTGTGATTCTAAATGTCCTTTCAGGGAACAGAGGAGAAATAAAGAAAACAATGCTGGAATTTCCATCTAATTATACCCCAGCTATCACCCTTGATGTCCTAGTAGGGTGAAACACTAGCCGGGCTTTTGCTTCCAACTATCTGGGCATGCAGACTATACCAATGTTAAGGACTGAAAACAGATAGGCTCTCCAGATCTGAAGGAGTTCCTGGATGAGAACTGTGAGGAATACAACGGAGAACAGATAATTAAATAGTTAAGTGCAAATACTTCAAATCACTTTCTCTTCTTAGCAGAGAGTTTAACCATAATAAATAACTGGCAGTGATTTTTTCCTCATATATTTGAATTCTAATTACTAAAAAATCATATTTCCCAAATCAAAATAAATAATGTTATATGATCCTTTTAATTTCTGTTAAATTTGGCTTATGCCAAATGAGAAAATTGAGCATCTTCTGGGTTTTTTTGTTCAAAAGCTGATTTCAGAGTTCAGGCTACTGTTGAAGCTGAGATTCAGGAAAATTAAAACATAACAATAGCCTAGAAAGAATTGTTTAGAAGGTTTCTATGATGGCATAAATTCCAAGAGTAGAAGCAAAAAGGTCAGATATGGTTTCTTCCCTCATTTCATTTGTTCTCTACTATTCCTGTCATACAAGGGAGGAGACCCTGACAGGATATTTGGAAATTTTCCAGGTGGCATCAGATTATTGGTCGTACACGACATTTCTCCAGACGCTGCCAATGTAAACTACCTCAGGAGGAAATCCAGAGCACCAAGGTGCTGAGGGAAAAAGTTTTCTTTGGGTTTTTAATTTCTACAAGCACCAGTCACAAACCAAAGGAAATATTACTGTGACAGTCATTGTACATTCACGGGTTTGCCCCATTGCTATAAACATTCCATACTATGCCTACACATTCACATTATGCCAAAACTCATTACTGTACATGCTAGTTTTTTGCCAGTATCTACATGAGATAACTTCAGTTAGCATACAAAGCCTTATACATCTTACGAATTCCCTACAGCTAGGTCCTTCCACTTAGTTGATGTACAGCAGCATCCAAAAAGCTATTGTCTGCTCCCACTGAAGACGACAGGAGTTCTACAACCATCTCTAATGATCAACCAAGCTGTCTTCAAAACTGGCATGAACTATTTTGAGCACTCACGAAGAGAGGATGCAGAGGAAGTCCCACGAAGAAACATCTGCAGGCCATCCTCGCTGTCACTGGTACTGGCCATACTGTTTCTCATCTGCATCACAGAGAGCTGCGAGCAAAGACTAGGCTGTCGATCAATCTTTTTTGAAGCCTAAAAAAAAATTAAAATATTATTTTTAAAAAAGTATCAAGTAAATTAAAGTAAAAATGGAAAATAACTGTTTCCTCTGTAGTAGATACTCTGGTCTCAGCTATGACTATTCATGAATCAAGAAGCTGGTTAGAGCAGAAGATTCTATGCAGTGTAAATTGATTTAAATGAAAATAGAAGATGCCAGTGGTACACTGGAATTTGAACACTGACAAGCATGAAACCTCAGATTAGTTATTAAATTTTAATTCTTTTTTGCACTGGACTTTTCCTGTGTTTTCCTACAGAAAGGTTGATTTTTATTATTTTGTAATTCATTATTCAGATATGATGCTCTGCAATTAAATACAGCCTTTATCCTCCTTGCTAAAAAAACCAGCATGCTATATAGAGAGTTTAGCAATTTGTATCTTAACAGAAACTTGTTCACTTTCCTGGCTTTTCACTTAATCATGTTAGAAAACGGTGAATGTCATTCCTTCCTAGTAGATGATAATTTGGCTCTTGATTTTACTGAAGAGAGATTAAATGCATCATATGAATATTATCCTCTGCCTGTCAAATGGTCTTCAGAGCTTCCATTTGCTTTGAGTAGTCTTCTTGAGGAGTCTTTGCACTATAATATTTCTATGAAACCATACATTGTACCTTGTTAAGTATTACTGCAAATCAGAATGCTTGTGTATGTGAAAGGTAGCAATCGATGACAAAAGCATAATGGGTAACTCCATTTTACCGAACTCTCTCAGGAATTAGCATCCTGTTTCATGTGTGGAGGAACGACTGTTTTTCCCAACAGTAGTGAAAATGTCCTTAGTTAGGAGAAAATCACAAGGTTCCTTACAAATAAATGGATACTATTCTGTTTTCCAACATAAAAAAAATTGATAATCTTCTTACTACCATCTTGATTATGAATAATCTATATTGGATTTGGTTTAGTTGTCCTCTTGTATGTCCCCTTGTGTACAGAAGTCTAATACAAAATTTTCTGCTGAGACTGTCACCAGCTAAAAAGCATTAAAGACACCAAAAATACGTGTATTCAGCAAGGAAGCCCATCAGAAGTGACGTGCCTATAGGGTGCTGGCAATGGGGACATGAAGGAGAACGTACTTGACAGACAGTTCTACCTTACGTAGGAAGGGCTTGTGCGATGGGATTTTCATTTGAGGAAGAATAAAAAGGTACTACAAATTTCCAAATGCTCACTCTTAATTTTTATAACATATATTTTCAAAAGTTACTGTGATAAAATGGTTACAATAATCTTAAATTCATGTGACTATTTTCACTGAAGACTTGGTATAAGCTCAAGTTAAAGTGAAAATATAAATCAATTAAGAAATATACATGAAATCGTGAGGCCAGCTTTACATATCTGTATATGATTTTAGGATGGTGAGTGAAATGTATACTCAGTGCCTTAAAGTGGCAAATAGAAATGTCAACACTGTTACTAGCTGGAGTGAAGTTAAATGGAACTTTTCTGTTCATACTGACTCGTCTGTGGCTATATAGCTACACTTGAGCCACACAGTGGAAAATACAGACAGGTTAAGTACAGAACTAGAAAGTCCCTTCCAGCCTCGCTCTTGCCTAGCCCAACAGGTTGGACATCCATTTGATTTTCCAGGCTGTGCAGATCCAACATGGCACTAAGCAAAACAAACCTTTCAAAGAGCAAGGACTGCAGTTCGATGGCAGCAACACCGGTGGCTGCAACACAACAGGGGGATTAGAAGGGAGGAGGCAGAAGCCGGGGGAGCCCACTACTCTCCTTAGGCAAGAAAGCCTAAACCGAATGTACTGATGACAAATGCTGTTATTTTTATAAGAGTGTGCAGATGTTAAGTCAAAGGACGGGCAAAGTTTGGTGGGTTGTTTTTAATACTTAGAAGGTATGATAAGGACCCTTCACTTAAAAACAATCAATTACAACCTTACAATAACTATTTTATTATACTTCTGTTTCAAGAAATATTTAGACTAGTGGTGAAGCTCTGCAATGCCAGAAGTCAGCAGCACAAGTTTGTTGCAGATGACTTTGTATACTAGGCATGACACCCTAATGCTGTCATCCATGCGTAAAAAAAGAAAATGAGGGAAGGAAAGGGGGCGGGGGGCAGGGAGAGAGAGGAGAAAAAGAAAAAAGAAAAAAAAAGGCAAGGTTGAGGAGGAGTGTGGAGAACAGCAGTCTCCCAGGAGAGGCAGCCTGAATGCACACACAGGAGGCACGTTGCTACATGTGCCTTTCAGATGCCATACTCCAGAAATGACTTACTGTCTATGTAGATGCGGGTTTTATTACAGAACATTCGCCTGTAATTCTTTTTTGTTAAAAAAAAAGAAGACAGTTTATCCACAGCTTTATAAGATGTATTTTACAGATGGCACATTCCCACGAGATCACTTTTATCTTCCTGCATTAGTAAGATGAAAACAGTGACCTGAAATAGTTTTGAGGATCTGATTGCAAGACAGTGTAATCCTCTATTTCATTGACCACAAGGCAGAATAAGCAGTGCTTTTTTGCTATTAAATCGTTTCTCCAGCAATTCTTTCTTTTCTCTTTCTATAGCCAGTGCAAAATAGGGAAAACTGACCATGTCTAATTCACCATAAAGACATTACAAGTCAAGCCTGCTGATGTCTGTGGTATAGAGTAACAGTGGCAGTCATTCCTTTTGGATCGTTTTCCAGTAAATTCACAACTTTGCAGAAGTAACTATTTAACCTATATATGAGATATTTATGGGGAAGTTGATGAGAAGGCTTTTTGCTCTGAGTTAGTGTGAGTTAAATCAATACAGACAGAATATGAAATTCTGTATTATAAAATTATAAAGCTTTTCATAAATGATGGTGGAAGTTCTTCAAATAAATTATATATGAGAACCCTACAGCCGCTACATAAATAATAAAAAACCCCACCAGCAGCCAAGATACCACCCAAATCTTGAAAAGCCACGTAACTAAGTAAGGAGACAAAATTAAAGTAAATCAACAAGATAAACAAGATAATTGGTATGTCCATGACTACACCCAAACCACTTACTGTGACATCTAAAACACACTCCCTCTACAACAAAGAAGAATGAGTTATATTCAGACCACTGAGTATTTTATATGTATTTATATTTACTTATATTTTATATGTATTTCAGGCCTCCTTCCACTAACTACATCGTATCTTGTTCCTTCTTTTTTTTTTTATTTGCAACCCTCAAACACATGTTACAATTATTCTTGGCAACCGGTATTACCCAGTTGTTTGACCCCAGCAAGCAAATTCTTTAAGAAAAAACCCGAAAGTTTCTTTGTACAAAGGCACCCATTTGTTATTGAGAAAGGATATCCAGGGAGAAGCATCTTTTTAGCTACCAGCTATCATAGTTTAGCTACTAGTTGGCTAGGTACATTTGTGGTAGCCGGTCAGTTCTGAATCTCCGTTATTCATCTTTTTTGCACATAATTGTGCTACCTTTAACCAATATTACTTCTGACAGAAATGCTGCACTGACTCACACTTTGGCACTAAAAGGCAATGAGCATGAATTCAGCAGCTGATAGCAGCAGGTTAAAAAAAGGTGCTTTAAGAGGATTTAGAATTGAAGTAACAATACATTTGTACGGGGGAGGAAAATTCCCGAATTAAACTTCCGTTGCTTACCTTGTCATTTAAGGTTGGGTCATTCAATGAATAGAGTTTATTTGTAATATCTTTGCCAATAAGATACTTAAAGATCTCATAAAGAAATGGCTCAGATTCCAGAAAATAAGTCAGCCTTTCCCTGGACCAGCACAGGAACTTGCAGTTATCGTCTGCGATAATGGTGACCTGAGAAAAAACATGCTCAGAATCAGCACATTTAAACACGCTTTAAAATAAGTGATACCATTTTATTTGTGCCTCCATTTAAAATAACCATTAAAGCCATAAAACTTTTTGGCATCCCTTAGAACATGACATTTACAAATGTAAAACATCTCAGATATTTATTATCCTCATATTTTTAACTGATAAGCATCGCCAGTTTGTTTTTCAGAAAACCCGGGGGGCAGATAATAGGGGAAAATCTCTCATAAATGCTTTTATAGTTGGGAACTTATGTTAGAAGAGATTTACATATAAAGTCAGTCCTACGGCGATGACACTGCTCACATCCCAACAGGCCTACATGTTGCTTGGTTTTATTTTACGTCGCTGTCACCAAACAGGAACAGCTGGTATAATCCAAAGGACTCCATCAAAGAGTTTTCAGTGATTTTTTTTTTTTTTTTAAAGTTTTAAAAAGTTTCATCTTTCTCCCTTCACTGTCAGCCCTGCTGGTCCCACAAATACCAAATACCACCTTCCAGCAGCTGAGCTAAGGCTCCATTTGCTCCATTACTGATAATTCTGCTATCAATAGTTACAGAGGAGCTTGCACCCTCTCCAGAGCAGCTGGACCTGCCAGGTGGGTCCCCCTGTGCCGGCAGAGGGCAACGGCACACCGAAACCTGCACCGCTCGGCCATACCCAACGGCATGCTTTGCAAGGGAAAGTCAGTCATCTACAAAGAAATCAGGCGCTCTCTCTCTGCTATTACAAGCTAGTCCTACCTCTAGAAAAATTAAAAATATATAAAGCCTAAGAAATAATGGGAAACTGTTGCATATCCGTGGATTTTAACCACACGGTCTGTAATACAAGCACACAGGCTGAGGAAGAATTTGCCAGCATTGCCAGCAGATGGGGTCCTTAAGATTGAATGCGTGTCCTCTTGCAATGGCAACTGTTTATGCACACCGCACCAGATTACAGTAATTTTTAAGGCAAGCAAAAGTCAAGGCATAAGCCTTTTCCCTTCAGAGGGACCGATTCATTTCCAGTCACTTACAAGAGAAATGGGCTGTGCCGAGAGGGCGGCCATGCTGCCGGCCGCCGCACTGCTGCGAAACGAATGCATCTGGACAACTCTGCCTCCTCGGTGCTAAGCCTAGTATTTGACTGGAACATATGACATTGGTCACTGATTTTAGAGCCTACGTTGCTCTCCCTCCCTCAACTTCTGCCAGGGTATCCATGTGGACGTACCCAGTCAGCCACAGACCGACCGGTCATTACTACACCTACACACTACATAAAAAAACCCTTCTTAACAGTATTTTTCCCACAAGCTATGGTATAATACATCCTTTAATGTAGTAGCATAATTACACTGCTGGAGATACACACCCTTACTGTTCCCCGTATGAATATTTTTATCCAGGATACTGTGACCCCTTTCAGCTTATGTTGCTTTAACAACTTTCAAAATGACAGAAGCATTAAGACGTTTAGGTAAATACCAATTTCAAACTACCAGTGCCTGAATTTTTAGTCTTTCATTTTAGTAACACCAAATATTACAACAATTATTTTTCCTTTTCCGCTTTTGAACCAGTGATGAGACTGCTCACATCATCTCCTTTCCAGTAAAGCTCTCTCTTAAATTATTTGTCCTGAATAATCTCTTAACACAAAATAAACTTGGAAACAGTAAAAGATAACAGAATAGCAAAAGCCAGACTGCTCAGCAAACACCATCATAATACTATTACGAAACACCAGTACTAGAAAGCTAGCAAAATTATGCAATTCAAATAGTTCACCATTGATCAAATTTATACTCTGTTTTTTAATGATCTCATCAGCTCATGTCCAGTGACATCTAAACAAAAGTGTACCTGGAATTTTTCACCCCGGTTCATCTGTGTTGATCGAAATTCAGGAGAATCTATAAAGGCACAGGGGTAAATATTATGCAGAAAATGCCCTCGATAAGACACCTTCATTCTGGAAATAAAAATGTATGAAACAACATTTTAAAATTATGGAGGTTGATTAATTTAATCTAAATTTGGATATAATTATTGACAGTGGTAATGCAGCAGGTAACAGGCAAAAATACGTTCATCTTCTGGAATTTCAGCCCCAGAGCTAACCTATTTTTTGCTTAAACCTCCACCGATTCCAAGCAGAACAGGCTGTCAGCCAATTTGAATTGCCACATGTGGTGTGCATCCTCTGAACATTGCTATTTGAAAAGAAAAAGGTCTGTAGGGTTATGCTATACAGCCAGACCAGAATCAGGCTTCCTTTAGATAACTAACTTTGCAGTAATGAGCAGCTAATGGCTTCAAAGAAAAACGATGAAACCTGACATCACCGTTGCCACCAACAGAAACTGGTTAAAATGCCGGCCAGAACTTAGCAAGAGCTTCAAGATTACAGCCTGGCCACGGGCATTTGTTTTACCCTTTCTCACCTTGGTGCTGCCGGCCTCTGGGCAGTGCAACCCGCCCCTCTCCACTTGCACGCGTAATGAATCAATTCCAACAGGCCTGTTGTTTTAAAGTCTGCCGGAGGGACATTTTTTGCTTCCCTCATGCACAAAATTTTTTAACCTTAAAACCCGAGAATGCACTGAGCAGAAGACTTAGATAGCTAAGAGTCAGACAAATCACTTGCTTGTTCTGGAAGGCACTGCCTTTGGTCTTACGCAAATCTAATTCCCATTAAAATCCATGCAGCTGCACACACAAGTGGTGGCATAATGTGCTCCCACTGAGAAACATCACCATCATTTGAACACTCTATCACAAAATGGCTATATACCATATGGCTACAGACAGTAGCATTTAAAAAGCTAGCCAAAACCCCAACAACTCTCTAATCTGTTTAATCTATTCAACCACCACACA